TTATTGAGATTCATAATATATATATATATATGTATGTATGTATGTATGTATAGATATTTAAATATACCGATAATATAGTATAATATAGGTATTGCATGTTCACAATTGTATTGAATTGGAAGCATACATATATATATATATACCAAAGAAAGAGTAAAAGTAAGGTATTGCATGTTCACTATTGCATTGAATTGGAATGCCGCTGTAAGAGTGGCAGGACAACAACATCCATCATGGGTAGACACATGACTCTCACTGGCATAGGCTCTCTGAGGAGTGCGCCAGCATGTTCTTGAACGTTCGTTGCAGCATGTACCTGGGGGGGCAACAAATACAGCGTCTCTAAAAATATAGCCCCTCTCATATATAGATATATATATATATACATTTATATATATATATATATTTATATGTATAATTATATATATTTATATATTTATATTTATATATATATACAAATATGTATAGATATATGTGTAGACACTTTTACAGCGTCTCTAAACATGAATGAAACCCAAATCACATCACGGAATCACACTCTTACAACGTGGGACCAACAACATCAAATTGTGATCGCACTCTAACAGCGCGATGATGGCCGTGTTGTGTGATGTGTCTGTGATTTCCTTAGCTAGGCATGGAAGTGGCTGGGAAGTGGCTGAGCTCTCAAGCCAGGGACCTTGGTGACCTTGGTGAGGGGGGGGGGGTCCGCTGAAGTCACCTTCGAGACTGAAAGATTACTTGGGCAGGGTTGGCATGGAACAAGTGCAGCCATATAGTTATGTATATATATATATATATACCATAGACATCTACTAGTTCTATTGGCTAATCAGCAAGCATGGTCACGGAACGGAGGTAATCATGTCAACCTCCCAATTTGTCACCCTCTCTATGTTGTGTTTGATGTTTCTTCTCCATGTTGGTTTTTGGTGATGACTTTACTATTTGTGATTCTTAGACAGAAAAAGATTGATAAACAAAACTGTGAATATCATAGCTGTAAGACATGTCACAAGTCATTTGAAGAAATAGGTGGGGATCAATCAGTTCATTTTCCGTGGGATGCTGTAAAGAGTGCCCACTATGATTCAAAAGGGTGCTGTTCAAACAGCATTTTGTTTTTGATGTGTATCCTCAATGTTGGTTTTTGGTGATGATATTTCTGTTTATTCTGGGAAAATCAGGAAACAAAAATGTGAAGATTAAAACATTCCACCTTTCACAAATCATTAAAAATACAAAGGTGGGGATCAATGTGATGTATAAGTGTCCGTTGTGCTTCAAAACGGTGCTGTCCAAACAACATGTTGTTTTTGATGTTTTGTTTTTATGTTCAAAAGTCATCTCATACAATTTGCAAAGCAATTTCTCTGATGAATTATACATATTGCAGCGCCTTTTTTTGATTCTTCCGGATGCTGTAGAAAGTATCCATTTTGTTTGTCTGGCACTGATGTAAATACTTGGGTATTATGGAGTTTTAAAGTCTTTAGGCCCTGCTTCTGTTCAACCTGCCACCACAAGGGACTCTGATTTTTTGTGATGCTGCAGCCCATATCGGACAGACTCAGAAGTTGAATAGGGAGGGGCAAGGCGACCAAACAAATACAGTGCTCACTCCTGAACTCTCAGGTCATCTTCATCGTCTTCCGTTGCTCGTCTCAAAAACTAGGCGGACTAAGCTCAGGGGGCATTAGCGCTGTAAAAGTGCTAATGCCCGGACGCTGTAAAAGTGTCCAGACGCTGTAAAAGTGTCTAGCGCTGTAAGAGTGCTGCAATGCGTTGTAACAGTGCAAGGGTTGGACTTGGCGCTGTAAAAGTGCCTGGACCTACAACCTGCAATGCGAGAAGACCAAGAGTCCGGAAGCTTCAAGATCTTTCGCATCAAGTTCAGAGGCGGGGTCAGCGGCAATATCCAGCTATAAAACCTATATAATAAAAGACAGCCCCACCACCCTCCAAATGGCAGCATCAGAGAGATCTGGGTGACATGAATGCACGCCAGCTGCGTCAGATGTGCAAAACTCACAATCTGAAAGTTCGTGGTCGGAAAGATGAAGTTCTGGCCAGATAGATAGATAGATAGACAGACAGATAGATAGATAGATAGATAGGTAAGTAGATGAAAGAGAGAGAGAGAGAGATCAATAGATAAACACGTACATAGAGAGGTAGGCAGGTAGGTAGATAGACAGAGAAAGAAAGAGAAAGAGAGGAGACCTCAACCACCTTTCGGTCCATCAGTGGCTTCGCTCTGCCATTCGTGATTCACAACGACCAATCTCTCCTACAGGTTTCCTATATTTGAAACTTCCGCCACCGCCTTGTGCGGTACTACTGGCCAGTCACGATGACGATGCATCTGTGCACTCTTTGTCCTCTGACTCATCTGAAACCAGGAGCATTGTTGCCGCCAACAAAAGGCGCCGAGCTGGTTCGCTTAGAGTTTTTGCTTAGATCCTCATTGCATTCCATTCAGTGCAATTGTGAACATGCAATACCTTACTATTACTTTTTCGGTGGTATAATATATATATATATATACAAATACATATATATATATATACATGTTTCCAATCCAATGCAATTGTGAACATGAAATACCTTACTATTACTCTTTCTTTGGTATATATTATATATGTGTAGTATATATATATATGAATCTCAAAAACATACCAATGATGCACTTTGTTTTCCAACCACTCTTACAGCGGCAATTCAATGCTTGTCACGAACGACAGTGAGGTTGCAACGTGACTTGGGCCCCAATCAGCGCCAGCCGATACCTCAGCCGGACTGGAAGAAACCGTAAACACGCTCTAAGAATGTGTGGTGCGGACATCACGCTGTAAGAGTGTGATCATGACAATGATATGTATATATATATACTTGGTATCACGCTGTAAGAGTGTGATCATTGAAAATGATGAGACTGAAATGTGTGATGCTGTGATTCTCGGATCTTGACTCAGTGAGGGCAATGCAAACAGCAAAATGCCATCGACACTCCATGGACACTCTTACAGCGTCAACAAAAACAAGACACTCTTACAGCGTCAACCATTACGGTATGCAAGTAAACATTACATATAAAACAAGATGTCAGATCAATACCAGTGATTTAATATCACACACGCACACGCACACACACACAGACACAAACATACACACACACATATGCACGCACACACACACATGCACACACACACACACATGCACACACACACAAACACAGAGACCTAGCCACCTCGCCATGGACGCAATGTCACGGCCCGTGAAATTCCCTGTGAAAGCGCCGCCTGTCAAAGCGCCGCCTGTGAAAGCGGTGTCTGTGCAGAAGGCGCCTGAGGAAGCGGCGCCTGTGAAAGTTCGACCCACGTCAATCGCGTCCATTCGTGCAGCAGAAGCGACCACCGCCAGCAAAGCCGCTTCAATAGCAGCTCTAAGAGCTCCTTCACTGAGTGGCGCAGCAGAGCACCCCACCAGAGCACCAGAGTGGTGGCTAGCAGAAAAACAACGTTATGAACTGTTGCTAGCAGAAAAGCAAGCCGACATACAACAGCTGCAAGGCCAGGTGGTCGCACTGCAGCAGCAGGCACTGCAACACGAGCAGCAGCACCAGCAGCAGACTCATCAGATGCAACAGCAACACGCTGCAGAAAGCCAACAACTGCAGGCGCAACACCAGCAGGCGCAGCGGCAGCTGGAACAGACACTTGCTGAACAGTTTGTGGCAGGCAAGTACTGGCAAGGCCAATTTGAGGCTGGGAGCGTCAAGAGTTTGTCTTCATATGTCATATGTCTTCTTTTCCCTGCCCATCAGGATCTTCGGACCCGAGCGGCTCCATGGAAGCAGGCCTACGATCGCATCATTCCGACCCGCAAGGCCTTTTTTGGACATCTGGAAGATGGTGGGACGCTGTAAAAGTGTTTCTATAGATAAAACATAAGATGGTGTAAAAGTGTCTCTATAAAAAAGGCCTCTCTTTCTCTTAATATATATATATATACATAGGAGATTGTCTCTATATATAAATGATTGATAAGACGCTGTAAAAGTGTCTCTATGCATGATAAGACGCTCACAACTAGACATGTCACTTGCTGCCGCATCAGGCATTCGCACTGCTGATTCGAGAAGAAAAAATGGTAAGCGAGAATGCCATGATGAGATGCGAGGCCGGAAAATGCACCAAGCCTTCTTTCATTGGAATGTTCTGTCATCAAGATCTTTCCCAGGACTTCAGAGTCCGCATGGGCTGCGAGCTGGAGGACCGGACTCAGTCAAGTCAAGCCATGTTTGTTTGTCTTCCAGTTTTTGGCAGGTCTGGAAGAAACGCGCCCAAGAGAAGAAGGCGGCCAAGAAGACAAAACCTGGCTGGATTTTCCAAAAGGCCAGGTGAGACTCATGTTTTTTTTGAGTTGTAATATTTTCTTTGTTAAAAAAAAACAGTTTCTGTATTCCTGGACAGGCAAAGAGGTGGCTTCGGCAAGAGCTCCACCAAGATGAAAAGGGGCGCTGAGTGATGGAGGAAAAGGAGCTCCATGGCAGACCACTGGTAGCAGATGGTGGAAAAATGTGGCGCTATATCTGTATCTGTCACAATTTGATGTTGTCGGACCCGCGGTGTAAGAGTGCGATCGCGATGTCATTCATGTTTAGAGACGCTGTAAAAGTGTCTATAGGACGCTGTAAGAGTGTCCATGAAACCATCAACTAGACATGTCAGTTGCACTCAGCTGATTCAGACTTAAATGCTGCCCAGGTACAAAATCTTGGCTGCAATCTCAGTATCACACTCTTACACATCCGCTGGAGTCACCTTTGGGTCTGACTTGGGTGCAAAAAAAAAATAAGCTAATCATTTCTGCAATTGTAGACATTTCTGGATGGCATAAAGCGCTGTAAAAGTGCAACAACAAGCACATCCTGTGAATCAATGGATGGCTTAAAGCCCTGTAAAAGTGTCTTGTGGCCCAAGTGATTGGTTGCAGGCATGCCACGGTCACCGGTTTCCATGCTATCGTACTGTCTTGATGAATTTGCGGACCAGATGGAAAACTTTCCACCCCTGGTTTTTGGACCAAAAGTGCCAGAATTTTTGGAGGATGATGACACCCAGTGCGAGTCCCTGGAGACCATTGCCTACATTGAATCATCTGCGAAACAGGAAGACAGCAGCAGCGAGACTGGGAAGAAAGAGGAGCCTGCGAACATTGAACAGATGACAACTCGCGAGCTGAGAAAGCTTTGCAAAGAGAAGGGCCTCAAAGTCCGTGGCGTAAAGAAAGATATCTTGATGAGATTGAAGAGACATACGTCCAGTGTTTCCATCAAGAGTCCTGAGTATGTCGGCACCGAGCAGAGTTTCAGTGAGAACGAAGAAAGTGAGGACGGAAGCTTCAATGCAGATCCGGAGTTGGAGACCTCGTCCAGCAGTGGCGGATCAGAGGTGCCATTGACTGCTGAAGCCCTCGAAAGCTTTGAAAGCCATCTGATCGCTGGAGATCGACCTCTGAGGGTGCCTGACCGCTACACGCCATCGAACAGTGTGGTTGATGACGACGCTTCCGACAGCCAGGGCATCAGTGTGGATTCAGACTTGGATGTGTGTGAGCTCTCCTCAGATTCATCAAGGGCAAGGTCCATAGTTCACGCTATCCAGAAGCGACGGCGTTTGTAGATGGATCCTGTGTGCCATGATGGGGCTGAAAATGAAATGTGAAAAGAGTAGTATGGTCTTGCCGCTGTAAGAGTGGTGAAGAGTAAACCTGTGACTCTGCACCTGTGACTCTGCAACTCTTAGGCCCTCTATGTGACTCTGCAACTCTGCTTTGAGTCTGGGTCCTCAGACGTTGTGTGTTGGACATATTTGAGTGAGCATCTGAGGGTTTGTATCATATAGAATTAGGGTCAAGTCAAGGCACCATTTTTCTTGAACACATTTGCACATATTTTGCAGCACAGGCTCCAAACACCATGGAACTTCGGGTTGGTAGTGACTTTGGCATTGCGTCGACTCGGCATTCCTTTTCGCCATTGCTTCGCCTGTGACTGCGAGAGGGCGTCTTTGAAGGTGCTGAATTACCTTCGTCCAGAGGTCCTTTATGAAGACGTTCGGTCTCGCAACATCTCCGAAATGGCAGAAGTAGATCTCTTCACGTTCGGACCCCCTTGCCAATCTTACAGTCGACAAGGCAATCGTGCTGCAGACAGCGTTGAGCTGGGACAGCTTGGACTGTACAGTGTTGCATACATCTTACACCACAAACCCAGGATCGCTCTGATGGAACAGGTGAAAGACGTGGTGCAGTCAGAGTTTTTTCAATTGGTCCTGAACGAGTTGGCCACAGCCGGGTACAGCTTGTATTCACAAATCTTGAGATTTTACGATTACAAAAGGCTGCCATTTTATTCAAAAGGCACTTCGGTGGGAAGTAAGCCTACATGTTGGGAATGTATGATGTTGAAAGTTCATCCCAATAATATAGATTCATAGAGATTTTACATCATGTTTTGATGCTTGTTGTTTCCAAGCATATGTGAAGCATCCCCAACGAGCAAAAAAAACATCACACAGCGATCTTTGAGGCTGCCAGCGATAAAAAGTGCTGTTTCAGACTTCGAGCGTAAATTTTACATAGGTGGGTTTTCCAGGTATACGACATGAGCATGCTCATGAGTGAATAGCTGCTGCGGCCGCTGCGCTGCCGGGAGCCATGCGTTGCGCTGCTCTATATGTCCTACGCGGCTCACGGTATCCTACGTGGACACGATGCCAGCATGGCAAGTCCTACGTGGACTGTCCTACGTGGACTGAGGTTAGCTTCTTCGACCCACGTGGTCACCTTCACATTGACCTACGAGGTCAAGCCCCTACGTGGGGAATAGTCCTACGTGGACGTTGACCTACGTGGTCACTTCTCCATTGACCTACGAGGTCAAGCCCCTACGTGGGGAAAAGTCCTACGTGGACGTTGACCTACGTGGTCACTTCTCCATTGGCCTACGAGGTCAAGCCCCTACGTGGGGAAAAGTCCTACGTGGACGTTGACCTACGTGGTCACTGCTCCATTGACCTACGAGGTCGAGCCCCTACGTGGGGTAAAGTCCTACGTGGACAGTGACCTACGAGGTCATGGATTGGTAAGTCCCACGTGGACAAGCAGGATGCCTGCCACAGTTCCTCGCCAGCGGGGCGTGGACGAGCTTCTGCATTCTTCTTCTGTCATCCGGCCTTTCCGGTTGTTTCATGATATGGAAATATAATTATATATATATAAATATGAATAATATGGGATATAAAGTATTATATAGTGTTTTGTTGGATGTCGTGCGATTGTCGTGTGTTTGCATTGCATGTCATGCGATCGATTCCTGCTGCAGGTGAACGCATGCCGCGTGGCGCTAAAGTGTCGCCTTTCTCTCCAGCTGCTGACTACGACAGGGACACGAGTGAAGAGAAAAGCGACACAGAAGAGGCGCCGGCGAAGTCAGACGAGGGAAAGAAGGCTGAGAAGAAAGAACGTGCCCGTTCCAGTGGTCGTTCGAGGAGATCGCGTAGGCGATCACGCAACGCCAAGCTGGGACGTGATCCTAGCCACTCGTACAACAAGCGCAGGCAGGAAAGAAAAAGGAGACGTGCAGAAGGGCATGGACGCCGTCGGCGGGGTCGGGAGCACAAGATAGAAGACAAACGGCGCCGCTCAGAAAGCTCTGAGGCAAAGCAGGCAGCCGCGGCCAAGCGGGTGTCCCAGTCAGCGGTATCACGACGCAGCAGAGCGGCCGCTTGCAGCACCAATGGGCCAGTCGGAATTGTTTGACATGGCAATTCTGGAACCAGCTGGATGAAGGGATCAAGAAGAACAATCCAAAGGCAGGCTGGGACAAGGCCAAAAAAGCAGCCTTTGCTCTCTATGAGAGACGTCGAATGCAGGCGGCACCATACCAAGCTGCTGGCGAGTTGGCGCCCCCGCCGCCTTTGCTTCTTCGCTCCCGCGCTAGCGTTGCGCGTGGCTCAGAGGCGTTGGAAGAACTGGAAGAAGTTAGGGTTGAAGAAGAGCCCGCTCCGACAGCCACACGGAGGAGCCGCGCGCCAAGCGCAGCGCCTGCCTGCGTAGCGCCGCGCGCAGAGCAGGGGCATGCCCCCCCTGCTGCTGCGACTGGCCCAGCTGGCCCTGCTGTCCCTGCTGGCAGTACGACTGCCCAAGGTGCTGCTGTGGGACAGAAACAGCAGATTGTTATCAACATCAACAGCAGCTGAGACGTGGATGCGCGCCAAACAGACTCCAACAAGCGACCGGTGAAAAAAAGGTTGGGCGAACAGGGTCGGATTCCTCGTGTATATATATATATAATATTATATTTCCTTTAACCTGCTTTTTTTTAATCTGATGCTATAGGGGGTTTGATAGTAACAATGAAATATGTAGTCTATGCAGAAATCTGGCTCGACAGTAAACAAAAGGGAAGCATGCCTGCCGCTAGCATGATCTTGGAAGCAAGCGCCGCAAACAAGAATGACTTGACCATGCAAGTGCCAGTTGCCAGACTGCGCACGCTCCGCGACCAAGTGCAGCATCGGTTGGGATTGCCTGACGCGGTTGGCGTCAGCGCAGCCTGGTTCATATTCTGTGATACGATAACTGCCGTTTTGACTGTGGCAGAGTGTCACGCTGCCTTGCGTGGCGAAGCTGAAGTGGAAGCACAGATCATTCGACTGAAGTCTCTTTTGTTTTTGACTTTGAAGGGTCACACGGAGTGGCACGGAATGGAAGATGATGAAGTCTTTCGCCTTCGCTGCTTCCGGTCCAGCTGGGATGCTGATGCGCTGGCACGTCGGATGGAACCCGACGATGATGGCGTATCCTTTGTGGAGAAAGCCCAGGTGGCTTGGGACCACCTGCAGTCGCTTCAGGAAGTTGCAACGCAGCTGCCGGAGTGTACGTGGTGCCACTCCGCAAGGTTAGAAATCAGCATGTTACAGCGCAAAGAGCTGCGCTGAGGTGCTGTATCGCCTTGTCCGCGAAGTGTCCGCGTTTGTCCGCGAGTGTCCGCGATTTCGATCGGAGAACAATTTGTCCGCGGCAAAAAAGTGTCCGCGGAGCCCAAACTTATAGATTCAGGAAGGTTTTTTGTCCGCGTTTGTGTCCGCGAGCACTCATGGGAAACATTTCCAGCCAACATGTGTCCGCGCAAGTGTCCGCGATAGTGATATGTATAAAATGCTCTCCCATCCATTTGTCCGCGGCCCCAGACCTAAATCTCTAATTTTTTGAACCCCTCGTTTGCTGAGGCTGCCAAAAAAACGCGCATGTCTGTGTTTGTAGCCACGGTTGCTGATGCGTTACAAGGGTTCTCGTTTATAGAGAAATTCAGCCATGGCGGATGAAACTGCGGCTGCTGCGGCTGGCGCCTCTTGCTGCTGCTTTCTGTGCGGACTTATGTACGACAGCTCTGCCGGACGCACGCATGGCGTTCGTTTTCAGTGCTATGGCTGCAATGCTGCTGACAAAATGCTGCGACGCAACCTTGGGAGCCGTAAAGAACTTGAATCAATACCGGATGAAAGCCAAAAGGCCTTTTTCCAACATCTCCAAGAAGAAAAAAAGTCCGGAGGCAAGCAACTCCCATGGAAGACCGTGCGGGCACAGCTGATAGCTCTCCAGACGACGCGGCATATCAGTGAGACGACGTCTGACATCACGACGGAAGAATTGCCGTTGACTGTTTGGGAAACGCGAGGCTGGCCGAAAGAAACGGTCGAGGCATGCCCTCGCGAGTACAGTGAAACTCTGAAACTGTACTTGCGCAAGGTGCCAACAAAGAAGGTTGTTTGGAAAGAAATTCACCAGCAGGTCAGCGAGCGAATCCTGAAGCAAGAGCAAGAAGCTTGCAAGGCCCGGCGAAAGAAAGGGAAGAAAGCAGGTTCCGAAGATGACATGGACCTGCCTGAGGAAGTCGAACAAGACAAAGATGCGCAGAAGAACGAAAAGAAAGAGGAGAAAGCTGCAGAAGTGGCTGCGCGCAAGATGCAAAGTGCTAAGAACATGTTGGCAGCCAAAAGCATCGGACAGTTGAGCAACGATCTGCAAGCCATGGCGAAAGCTTACAAGAAAGTGTCCAACCTGCCGGACAATGTGGAAGCCGCATGTAAGGATGCAATGGCAAAGGTGGAACTTTGGGTGGGAGCTGCAAAGTCAACCATGCAACTGGCCGAGGATGAGCGTGCCAAGGCTGGGGAACTGGCGCTGCCGGAGCTTCCTTACGACATGGTGGAGGTACGCACCTTGCACCAAACTTGCACGGAAGTCATCAAGAACTTGAAGCCTTACTTTCCTGCCCCGAAACCGAAGCCTGCTCCCAAGCGCAAGGCTGAAGCAGAGGAGAAAGGAGAGGGAGGACACAGGAAAGGAGAAACCTCCGACCGGCAAGCGTCTCCGTGGAAAGACAGCCAACTAAGAGTTGTGCGCCATCGCCTGGCATTTGCGGGGTGTGTCATATGTCAGGCGCCGCTGACTTGGCGCTCGTGTTGCGTCTTCACTGCTTGAAAGACTTTTGGACACGAGTGATGGCAGCGGCCTTGAAAAAAAAAAGTTCGCTAGGGAGAGGACCGCGTCAAAGTGTGGTAATCATGATCGAGTTCGGTTGTTACTTCAATATATCCCATGAAAAAAAGGTATGTCGTATACATATATGATGAAAAGCTTTCCCTGGTTGGTTGTCTAACGTCTCACATCTGTTCGCGTAGAATGATAGAGTAGTCGAACTATCTAGGTTCCATAAGGCTCGGACTTGAAGGAATTATACCTCTTGCACGCAGCCACGGCTCAAGTCGAACCATTTACCGAAACTAGTTTCACAAGGTTCCATGCCAGCGTTGGTTGGCTACCAACTGACGGAAGAGGTTGTCCGTCTGTATAGCAACAATAAAGATATCGGTCGCTATCATGATGTTTCTGTCATGTTGTCTGGCCGTAAGCGGTCGTGGCAAGCAATGATGGATAGCCCAAGCGGCGAACAAACCACTGTCGAATATATTGCATCATCCCAAGAGGATGTAGATGAGGCGCAAATCGAACCATGTGCCTCTCAAGAGCTCGCCAAAGCTGAAGATGTAGCATGAGAGCAACCCTTAGACATGCAGAGATAATAACATGAAATGCAGCTGAGAAAACAAGCCGTGCGAAGTCGCAATCAAATCAACTCGAGAAAACAAACGCATAGGCACGTTTTCTGATTAGAGTGTTGTCGCAAAGGGATGACAAAATTGAATCATGTGAACCCTGAGCATGGAAGCGTCGTTCTGTCACGCACGCATGTCTTGTATCCGAAGCCGTTTTGGCAAAAGCATGAGCATGGAGTCCGAAAAGAAAAAAAGGCGGCTACTCGAGCAATCACCGGCAGAACAGTTTGCAGCTCTGAGGCAACTGAAAGGAGTAACGCCGGCAACATGCCGCAAAGTCATTGCGACGTTACGAGAAGATGGCGCTGGGAAACGTACCTGCCAGAGTCAGAAAGCAGCTCATGCGCTATCCCAACCGTGTCTGAGGCATTTGGAAATCCCTGCCATAGAAGATGGCAACTTTGTCACCATGCCGTGCATGAGTTTGCCTGCGCTTGTGCAAGCCAAGGTAAACGCATGTGCCTTATACAAAGCCATGTTACATGAGGCCTGCCAAGCGCACAACGGAGAACTGACTATGGTGTTTTACACGGATGAGGTGACAGGCGGCAACGTGCTAAGCGCGCCGCAGGCTCGCAAGGCGAACCTTATCTATGTCAATTGGTTGGAATGCCCTGTCTTGCACATGGAGTCACAATGGCTGACGCTGAGCGTGTGCCGCAGCAGCGACATCAATGACATGCGTGGTGGCATGGCGGCCCTGGTGACGTCAGTGCTGAAGTTCATAGAGCGCGAGTGCGGCAGTGGCTTCCCGATCGCATGGTCCCAAAGAGATGCTGATCTCATACGCATACATTCTAGCAGACGCAGAAGCTATCCGCAGCTGCTCTGGATGCAAAGGCCATGCAGGCCTGAAACCATGCGTTCAATGCATCAATGTGACTGCCATTGGGAAAGCCTCAGATGCAGAAAGCCATTATGATATCACATGCCCTGATATGTGTCTCTTTTGGCCCCAAACAGATGAAACGGTCAACGCAGCTGCCAACAGGTTGCGTGCAGAGAGAACGACCAAAGGCAGAAAGGACTGTGAACAAATTCTGGGTTGGAATTGGGAAAACTTCCAAGAAGGTCCTCTCCTTGCGCCAGAGCTGTCCAAATGGATCTCAGTTGATAGCTTGCTGTACGACAGCATGCATATCTTCTTCAACAACGGACAAATTTGTCAGCTATTGGGCCAATGGTATGCAATTCTTGTGCAGCATACGACGTTCACCCTGTGCCATTTGCAAACGTATGCTTCGCTTTGGACCCCGGTTCGGGGCAGTCCTGCTGCGTGCGGCCCAAAACCCGCTAAGTACTTCAACGCAAAGCTGTGGCGTGCTGATGGTGACTTCCGTGGTGACGCGGATGCTGCTGCTGCTGTGCTGGCCCTTGTGGTTGCCTTTTGTGAAGAAGTCTTAGTCGTGGAAGACAGTTTGACACCGTACATCGAATCCATGCAGTGCCTACAAAAACTAGTCTGCTGCATTTGGGCATGCAAAGTTTCGCCGTCAGCTGCGCTCCAACTAGATGAACTGCAGAAGAAACATTTTGCCGCATATGCAAAAGCATGGTCAAGAGAAACTATGCGGCCCAAGTGGCATTATGGATTGCACGTGCAAGCTCAAGTCCAAAGGTGCAACAAAATGCTTGACACGTGGGCCCTGGAAAGAAAACATAAATTTTTCAAAAAATTAACTACAGGAAATTGGGGATTTGCACCAACTTTCTCTGTCTCAGCTCTGCTGGAACTATCCACGGCTGACCTGCAAGAATCCCATGACGTGAGTTGGTTGGACTCAACGTTGCTGGGATCTTCTGTAATTAAGAATTTGTCTGGCCTCCCCTATCCCTGTGAAATGAGCAATGGTTTGGTTGCGAAAGGCGTCAAATACCTTCGAGACCAATATTTGTTGCTGGGCTCCTGCACTGCTGCGCAAGTGCTCGGTGGAATCAAAACTGCAAATGCAGATTTGTTCCTGTCGGTTTAACTATTAACGCCTGTGCAAACACAACCCAGCTACCGCACACGTTGGAAAAAAACATACTGAAGCACAAGCCTGCGCGCTAGTAGATCCAAACGACTTGAATAACAACATTCGAGTCATGTACTATAGGATCGAAGATGATAACATGCTGTCGCTTCTCTGCTGAAAAAAGTGCTCAGCCAGCAGTTTTCATGCCAAACTCATTTTATAAGCAAAAACATGCAAAAAAAAAGTTAGGAAGTTAGCAAGTAGGTTAAGATGGACTTAACTTGAACTTATGTAACTTCATCTTAACCCTAGTTATAACCTCTTAACTTCGAAAAGAATCCAAAGAAGTGTGATGTCACTGGTAGGTATGCCTCAAGTTTTCCTCTGCGCGTGCTGGTGCTTTCTTTCATGCATTGTGCGCAGGAACTGGAAACTGTGCCTGGAGATATCCATGGCAGCAAAGCTCTTGGGTGTGACACCAAGGACTATGAGTTGTGTGCAGCAGTTGCTACCACATGTGTGTGTGCCTGAGACACATGGTGAAACCTTTTGAGGAGACAGTCACAGTGCCCAAGCCTGCTGTCCCTGTGGTGCCTTCTGCTGTCGAGGTTACTGACCCCCCTGTGAAGAAGACAGTCGTTGTGCCCAAGAATGCTCATATACCGATCCGTCAAGATGTCCGGAACATTTTTGACCGACAGGTATGTAAGGGGATCAACTGGAATGAAGGTGGAGGTGGACGAGCCCCAAAACATAATGTCGCTGAACAGGCTTCTCCAGAGGACACCCGGCAGAAGGAGAAGCATGTCCCTGATCGACCAGATCTCCCTCCTTTTCCTCCACTTCGGGCTGATGCACGAACGGACGCTGATCGACAAGATGAAGTACCGGATTGGGTGCAAAAAACGTTGGCTGAAGCCAGGACTGCTTGAATTGACCATGCGTTTTGCTGTGTCTTATCAATTCAACTCATGAGTTCCCAGGACCGGAAAAGCAGCTGGTGCCTATGACAGATATGACCACCAGTGGCTTGATGAAAAAAATTGGGCCACCAACCTGCGTTGTCGCCGTTGCATGTTGTATCGGCACTAAGTTTGCTGGACTGGTCAACACGATCTTCTCCAGGATCCGGAGACATGTCATGAACGTGAACTCTGCAGATTTGCTGGCAGCCTGGAACGACAAAGACAAACGCCACTTAAATGCATGCATGACTTTGATTGAATCCTTCATGGGACACTCAACTTTTCACTCCTGATTCTCTCTTGAAAAGAACCTTTCGGTCGAGAGAATGGTGTGCATGTGTTCATGGCCTTGAGGTCAAAAGATGAAAGAGCAGCTTGTGGCCACAGGAAACCTTCAGGCTTGTGATGCTGTAGCGAAGCAGCTGTCCAGGAAGTCAGTCACCGACACAACCAAAGAGAAGCCAGTCACTAAGCAGATGTTGAAAGAGATGTGGCACTGGGACGAGACACTTGTTTGCACTTTGTTTGCTCCCAGCTGTTTCATTTGTACACGCAGAGTCTCTGCATTGTTTTTCAGCCATGTGCCGCTATCTCTTCATCATGCGCTGGACTTTTCGTCTAAGTACAATGATCGAGAACACGTGGAAATGGGCAGCTCAGAGAGGAAAGGTTTACAGACACCCAATCAACCAAGCAGAGTACATCGACATTGATGTGGATTCTGTACGTGAAAAGCAGAACTACCGCGCATCAGAGTTGGAAACCGCTGCTTGCTTCGCCACGGAGGCAAGAGACGGTTGCAGTTTCTCGGAGTGGTGTGTGACAGTGGGCTGCCTCTTTGTCTGTCCACATGATGGCAGGACACGTCTGGCTCAATCTTTGATCCTTTGGAGACGGGGGCTGCTGCTGACAGTTCGGGTAGTTCGGGTGACCCGACTGTTCCAGGACCTATTCCTGCAGCGCTTGCAATGCCGTTTCTCGCACCATTCAGTTCATGTGGATGTGTGATGAAATGCGCTCATGCGTGTGTGAATGCTTGCGCCATTCTGTACCACTAGCTTCTTTTGATACAACCAATGATTTTGCACCTCTCAGGAAGGGACCAGTTGAGCGAGTTTCGTTCCCAGCTGCGAATCCCACGGTAGCTGCATATCAGCAGTTGGGCCAGTATATCATGATTCTTGGCCAGAAGATTGATTTGGCCCGAGACTTGAAGGCCCTTATATCTTTGATGTGCTTTGTGCAAGCTTTCTGGCTTGCGACTACATGTGTGAATAAGTCTTGAGGTTTCGGACTTTCAGTTGTGCTTGTCTGCATGCATGCGCAGCAGGGCAAGCTTGACCCGCACAATGCTACTGATGAGAAGGCGAAGGAGTTACTGGGCATGAGGACGACAGCCAGCTCTTGGTTTCTCGTGTTTTCGGAAGGCATTGCTGGGCCGCTAGGGAGGCTGCAAGAGCTCTACAAGACCATGGTCAACTTGCAAGGGGATGCCATGGTCACCGCACCTGACAGGCTGGAATCGTGTTTTTTCATGATCTGTGCATGAACATCATATGAACTATGAACGGTTGCTGCACTGGTTGCATGCACCCAACTTCTGTCAACCCAGTCCCTGCTTCAGGGCACAGCAGCAGGCCTTAGGGCAACACTATGTCACCTGCACGAAAGAAGACACAATGATGAGTGTATGGGTGATCCGTGCCAGGTGGGAACATCTTGGTGTGGTTTGAAACATGATTGTGATTTGGTGTCATGTGTACAAGTGCTGCCTGGAGGAAATGGAAGGCACCGGAGACCGAAGAACAGCGGGTGGAGAAGAAGAAACGCCAGGACGAAGCTAAGAAGCGTAAAATCTCGAAGAAGGCAGAGCAGGATGTGAAAGAAGAAAAGTGAACGGAGTGACATGAAAGAAACTTCTTTGCACCAGTGTGAATCTTCCTTGTAAAGCATGTCACAGTCATGACTCACATGCTACGGAGGCATGTCGATGGATTCTGGTGCATGCTCGGTTTGGCTCAGGATGCTGGACTTTGTCCCTATGGTATATGGACACGACGTACATGCCCATGATGTGTGCTGTGTTGCATCAAATTTGTGATGGTAGATGCGTTTGACACAGACTTTTGTCTTGGCGGGCTTGTGGTGAAAAGGAATCCCTCATTGGTGCTGGCATGTGCTGCGCTTGTACATGTGGCATGAACATGTTTGCCATTTGTCCGCGGTACTGCCATGATGGCATGCCTCGTTTTTGTTTAGGCATTGACTTGGAAGCTGAGAGCTGTGGGGAAGTTTGCCCGGTCCCAGGCAGGCTGCACTCGCCCTTGAAATTCAAACTTGTGCAACACCCTCTGACAATGGCAGTAGAGAGGCCAAGCTTCGAGACCGACGGTTTCGTTCATTGACTGCCAGCAAGCACTGCTGGAGGAACTGCTGGAACATTTTGAGATTGGAGCTGCTTATCTGCTTGATATATATGTCAAGTGATGTCATGCATGTGTAAAGATCATGCTTGCCGGTATGTCAATCCTGCTGCTTGTAAACCACCGAGGCTGACGGTGCCAGGACCAATTGTGCTTGCATTTCTCGCAAGCAGACTTGTAAGCCAACCATTGTTTGCAGGAGCTGTGTTTCAGCAGCTCGTTTGACGAGTGGTTTGCGGTTGCCAGATGGTAGCTGGGAACTCATTTTTGGTGCCATGCTTTGGTTTCATCGCTAGAATGACGGTGAAGGCATATTTTGAGAAGGTGAAGGCATATTTGAAAAGGCACCTCTGATTGCAGGCCACCCGATGCTTCTCAACAAATTGGCTAACTGGCGGGACCCTTCTCACTGGGCACGCAACCTCCACAGACTGATCCAGTCTTGGGGGTTCACTCTGATGGTGCAGCCTACAACAGTTCTGACACCATGCAAGTTTCGTGGTTCAGTCGCAGCTACGCCGTGGCCAGTCTTGATGCTGAGTAGCTGGTTGCAGCTGATCTTTGCAAGAACGGACGGGGAGATGCTTTGCAATGGGCTGCCTCTGGGTCCACAATGGAAAACAGAGCTTACTGCCTTCTGGCAATTATATAGAACGGTTAACCCGGGTCATGGTGTGTACAGCCAGCCTGAAGATCGGTTGGGGTGGACATTGCCGTTTCTGTACCATGGTGATGAGGGCCGCGGTCGGTTGCGAAGGGCTGTGTTGATTTGCAGCTACCAGCCGCTCCTTTTCTGCGGTGGCCATTCTTTCAAGAGCCGACTGCTCGCGTCAGTCTTTCCAGGTGAGAGGTACGCTTGTGTTGAAGGAGAAGAAACACTGGAAGCTTTACATGATGCAGTCGCAGCAGACATGCGGGACCTCTTTGAGAATGGCCTTGAGGTGGGGTTATTCATTTTGTGTCGCATGCTTGTACTTTTGCGGCGACAAACTTTGCGGTCCTTGCTTTTTTGGCTACTGCACTGCACTTAAGGTCTGCCTTCCAGATGGTTCGTCCCAACAGATCCACATTGCATTTTGCGGTGTCAAAGGGGACTGGCCATGGCAAAGTTTCTGTGTTGCAAAAGATGGCTCCCAGCATCACATTCCAAGAGACTGTTGCCTTAGGTTCTGATGCGCATGTGTGTTCTTTCCTCTTCACTGCACGAGGAAAGTGCCATCGCCTTGAGACGGGGTTCCAGTCCAAAAGGGTATGCCAGTACTGCCAATCACAGGCGGGCGTGTCAATAGATTGGTGCCTGATCACACGTCTTTATGACCGAAGATTGACATGAACAGAACATTGTTTTGCAGGATTGGTGGTGCACTGCTTTGACAGCACAGTGGCGTCGACAGCGTCCAGGGGACTGGCCTTCAAAGTTGGACAGACCTGCGAAGATCCATACCGTTCCAGGTATGGGTCCAACAGACGCACCCCCAGATCAAATGCACACGTGGCATCTTGGTGTTGGGCAATATGTATGTGGAGCAACTGCAGTTCCTTGTTTTGCATTTTTCCGACCAAGCCAAACTTGCTAGTGCATGTCAACATTGTTCAAAGATCTCGCCATCTGATTGCACATCGTGAAGTACAAGGTGTTACTTGCTTGCCATTTGCAATGGTTTGGTGGGACCACGCGTGAAACACAACTGGAGAATGCTTTCCAGAATTTCAACACGTGGAAGATGCAGTAACTCAGCAGCAGGTTTGAAGATTTTGGTTTTGGGAGTGCCATGAAACTGCAATGTGGATTTGTTTCCTGCTTCCCCTTGAAGGCATAAGAAGGTTTCAAGCATCACTGAGTTTGACCTCCAGAAGACCTTCAAAGCTTCTTCGTGACTTGCCTGCAACGAATGTGCAAATCGGGCAAGGCAAGTTCACATGTGAATATGAATTGCCGGCATGGCGTCAATGCACGCGCGCATGTCCCATCTGAATTCGTTATGATGCGCTAGGTTCAAGGAGTACCCACGTCTGGGAGGCCAATCACTTTTCGACCTCTTTCTCTAGGATGTGACTATGCCCCATGAGCCAGGCAAAGCTTTTGACACTGCAGTAATGTGCCAGAGGCTTCTGTATGTGGTGCTTCGTGATCCCATCGGTGAGCAATGCGCAGCTTTGTTTGCATTGATGCCCCCCCCTGCCCGGTAACTGCGGATTCTTTTTCACATGTTGACCACCCCAAAATTAACAGAAGGACATGCCTTCCAAACATATCACTCCTGGGGAGGTCCCGCTCCGCAGTTAAAGGAGAGGCCAAAGCTACAGGCCAAGCCCTTCAGATCTAAACCCACAACCTACACAACAAAAGATCCAGGATACAGAAAAAAGCTTGTGGAAATGTGAGGCACCTCCTGCCGACCTGGTAGACCTCTTGCGATGGACATTGCAGAACATCGAGACTTACTTCAGAGGCATCAATCGCCAAAGATGGATCCCAAGGCCCAAGGCCATGGAGTTGGTGCAAGCATGCCATGATTTCACAGACTCTTGCACGCAAACCAAGTGGTTCACACCCATACTGGTGCAAGTATTTCCGTGTTTCTGTGTGGTGCTGCTGTCCCCCAGGAAGGAATCTCCACACTGCGCCACTGGTGTAAATCTCGGGGCTGGAAATTGTACACAAAAACTCCGAAACTACACCACCAACAAGAGATCGGGTTGCTCAGTGCAGAATCAGTGCATAAGACTAAGAGGCTTGTTTTTGTTTCTTCTTTTGGTTGCTAGGAATGGGCTTGCTGCCAGGCTGTGGATGGTGGACCAGCTTGCAAGAGGTACGCTGATGGTGATGTCTCCAAGAAGTTGCTTGGACACACTTTGTAAAAAAGAAACAGTTGCAATGCTTTTTATCATACTGCATGCTTGAACAGATCCAACTTCCTTCTCATGTGCATACGTTGCCGCGTCATCTAAGCTTTTGCTACATGGCGCGACGAAGATTATATAGGTCGTGTTGCTTGTCTGGAATTACGTGTTGGCTGTATGAAAATTTCAATCACCCTTTCCCATGCATGCGCGATGTTCTTTGAATTTGTTGTGTTGCAGGTTGCCAGAATGTCGCGGCGATGCCATTCATGGACAATATGCATTGGAACAATGCGCAGAGCGCTCATGCACTACAAACGAAAATGGCACAAGGAAGGTTGGCTGAAAGAAGGCCAGGTTTTGGAACTCGTACTTGAGCCCTAAGCCTTCTTTCGCTTATTTGCTTGAACATGGCACCTTTCATCAGGTAGAGATTTCAAGCGCACAAAACGTTGATGGCAATTGTGTCTTTGGCATGGTTGGCGTGCATGCTTGCACATGTGTTGCTGTGGGTTGACATGTTGACTGCTTGTGACGCTGGGTTGCTTTGGATGAAGCTTGAGGACCGTGATGTTTGTAAGTTGTCGCATGGTGTGGCATGTTTTGTTTGACGCGCAGGTACTGTACATGTGTGAGGGAGCGTGCCGGTGCGCATGCGAGACACTTGGTGGAAAATCTGTGTTGGTTGTATTGTTTGCATGTTGTGTCATGGGTTGATTGTGCGTTGCCTTGCCATGTTGATTGCGATTTGCCATGAGCATGTTTGGTTGTTTGCGCCGCTTGCGGCCCAACAGATTTGGGCACAGATATTGTTGAACACACATGTGCATGGACGGAAAACACCTGCATGTTTTCGTGGACATGCTTGGCTTGGGATGTTGAGTTTGCTGCTCAACATCATGCATCGGGAAACATGTCAGCCAGAGAGAAGCTCTTCCTTGTGTTTAATGTTGGCTCCTTAATGCAGTGATGTTGTGAAATGCAGACTGAACTTATGAGTGTGTTTTCTCTCCCTCCTTTGACCTAAGCCCAGTTACTAATTCCAGAGGGTCAATGCGGCTGTGTTGCTGTGTGGAAGGAGTAGACGCATCAGTGTTAGACTTCCTTTGCTACCATGTTCTATTTATACAACGTTTCCCTGCGGCCAAATGCTTTGCATGACAGGCTGTCAATTTTTGAGGATACCGGCTGCGTTGCATCGCGCGCAGCGAAGATAAGGTGGGGCCAATGTTGAATGTGTGATTAGAAATTGTGGCTTCATTTGTCGTGGACGCAGGAATATGCATAGTGTGTGATTCTGTGAAGCATTTGAAAAATGCATGATATGTACAGTGCAGGCAGAGAGGACCACCAATGCAGAGCCAATTTTCATTTTCATGCTATTTGCCATGGCCCTGAAACAAAGCCAGAAACTTAGCTTTTGTGGACTACAAGATTGCATGGCTCACTGTACTAATTTGACTGCACGATTGCGGTCATCTGATCATTGCGGTGTGATGCCGATCAAGATGTGGCATCGTACAACTGCGGGATTGTTTTTCACGTCCAGGATCTTGATTCTCACAGTACTATATATATTATATATATATAAACTTCCCACCAAGCCACTGATGGTGGCTACTTCTTGTC